AATAACTGCAGCGGATATTTCGATATGGGTATTTTCAGTAAAATAAAATATCAACGCGTGGAACTATGTGTTAGAAATTAATAGGGGAGCATCTAGTTTTTATTTGTTTAACGTAAACATAGTGGTGATTGCAGAGAACTGCGTTGTTTGCAGATTTCTCTGTACAGTGGTGTCAGATGAGCAAACCGTTGGTAATGTCAGGTCATTATACTTGTGTACAAGTAGAGGTGAATTGCGTAACCTTCAAATTTGCTGATAACTTGCTGTCAAAGCTTGAAACCGAAATCGTCATCCGACTGCGAGACCGTCGCTGATTGGCTCCTGGGTTTGATGACAAATTCATTTTCAAATAACCTGGTATTTTTTTTAGATTTTATTTTTCATTCTTTTCGTCTATTTTTTCGAGTTTAAAAAATGTGAGCTGGCTGGAGCCTTCATCCCTTGTCTATTTCTTACACTAGATACCAGCCGATACCCCCCCCCCCGCTCATAGAGACTGCGTACAGTTGATCATAGTTCCTGGGCTCCCTGTGATGTTACTTTTAAACTTGTATCTTTGCTAACAGAAATCGTCGCAACAGTCAAGCACAGCAAAATCGACAAGTGTTTTGGTAGAAGTACCAATGCACAATACTATGAAGAAAGCGAATCTAGATTGAACAATATCATACAGTTGCAGTTCGGAGTACAAGTTGACAATTATACAACTAATTTGTTGGGTGTATGTAACACAATTATCAAGAAATATGAGATTAGTAAGAACAGTGTATTGCATCTGGGGTGTGGACCAGGCAGAATGGCTTTTGAAATGACTAGGATTTTTAAAAAGGTAACATATCCATCCTTATCATTATTTTTTTTTTATCTGCCATGATCATATTATTTGGGGGTGCTATCAATCTGATTAAAATCTGATGTAGTGTACGGGCTTTAATTATTTTGGCTATAAACTTATTTTAATTTTATTTTTTATTACTTTTGTTATTAATGCCCTTTTATTTTATTATTTTACTTTGATTTTGATTTTGTGATTTTTTTTTAATTCTGCCCTACCTACA